TGATAGTTGATTTTTCCAATAATGATATTAGTAGAGCTGAATTTCATATTGCCTTGCTTTCCAAAAAGGTGTTTTTATTCAGGGTGGACTGCAGTTTCGATCTCGCTTGAGTGTCATCTGCTCCCCCAATATGATGTAAATCACAGGCGTGGGGGTACCTGACCCTAGAATCGTAGGCTACAATGAAGGTATGAATTAAAGAGGCTATAGGCAAACGATGTATCTTCTCTAGTGTCTTATTTTTAGATCGACTTAACGGTTCTTTCTATTTTCCTTGCCAGATAGGATTGATTATAATCGTTTTATCAAAAATTCTATTTCCTGATCAACTTAGTCTACTATGCATACACAAAATTTTATTATTTATTCTATCTTCAACATTACCTGGATCCAAGGCCATTCGTTTACTTGGATGTTAATATGTTCGTTGCTTAAGTGATAATAATTTGTACTGTTCCACTTGTCATTTTTCATTTACAAATAGGCAAATTTCCAGTCTCCAAGCGATTGGTTCTCTCCTGCCCAGCCATGTACCTTTGATTTTTCCCTTTCTCTCTCTTTCTCGAGGAACAGATATCTCGGCCGTTCAGCGAGCACCTATTCAAGCTGAATCCGAGCTTCTCACTGCTCTTGATCGACTTATTCTTTACCTGCGAATCGTACATTCATTCGACTTTTATGCACCAGCCGTCTATTTTGATGAACAAGACATGCCTCATCCTTGTGGTCTGATTCATGTTAGGCCGGCACTCAGAACCGAAACTGGCCCTGCTATCACAGCTAATGGGCGACCAGGGCTTACTCTTGAGCTGATTGAGAAAGCTGCTCATCAGGTAGATATTTCGTTTCCAAAACTTATGATTCTTATTGTACAGCTGATTGCTTTAACAACAAGTTATTTCATTAATTTTTCCGTAAACCGTTTCAATAAAATAAATGCTTTTGAACAGGGAGTAGTAAAGAGGACAAGAAGGGTTAAGGATGAAAGTTAATGAGACAAAATCCAGATTTTGCCGTTTTTTATTCATAGATTGTACTCATTCTAAACCCAATTTTTCTACATCTCTATTTAATCATATAGTCTGAATCCTTTACTAACGTTTTGGGTGACGAGTGCTATCAAGTTAACAATAAAAATCCTCCAAAGAATTAAACGGAGGATGACTCACCCTTTGAAGCAACGTCCATAATGTATTGAAGTGTTAAAAAATTCTCATCTTGCTTAAAACTTATTGTTTATGCCCTCCAGTTTGACATTTAAAATGCATAACTTTTTATACCAG